GGCCATATTACTATGACACGAAACACGTGTTTTGATGTAAATAAACAATCTGTTGTATACGCACATTGGAACTCAAGTTTCAAGGACACGCTCGCGACAACCCCTCCGCTTTAATATGACGAGCACAAAGAGAACTTAACGAGGACTGTGTCATTTTCAATGACTTGTTAAAATATAATTTGTTATGACCATAGACTCATCTCATTATGTAAGTGCATATGCTACTAATAAAACAAAAACACTACACATACATGAAAATGTGCATAAAATATTGCATGAAATGATTTTGGTGGGACAATTTATGACATCAAAATGTTAAACTCAGCCGTGAATGTTGATGTAGGTTGTCATAACCTTACCATAAATCATGTGTTATTTATCCATGTCAATTTTACATACTTAATTCCTGTTTTTAGCTTCGCTGTCGACTTTGTCGAGCAGTGCTTATCATATGAGTGATTGTCCGTCGGCGTCTGGCGACTGGTGTCAACTTTATACTTTTTCGACTTCTTCTTGAAAACTACAAGCCTGAATGCTTTGATACTTGGTGTATATGTACCTTGGGTAGACCTCTCTTAGATTTGTTTATTTCATGATGATATCTTCAATTCTGATGATATTTTTGACTTCTTGTTGAAAACCACAATGATTGCTTTGATACTATACATATTGTTCATGTTCTAATGATATCTTCAGTTCTTCTTCAATTGAAATGTGCATTGCTAACAGCAGAGCTATCTCAGGCGACAGGCTGCTTGTTTCCATATAAGGATGCTATTCTTCCATATAAGGAATATAGCATGGTCTGAATGTTACATGGCTGTACAGTGTTTAATCCATTACTATATTTTTCAGGTCTACTTTAGAGGAGCTAGTAAAAGATCATCAACTAGAAATTAACAGAATAAAGAGAACGCATGAATCTGAGATTGACACCGTAAGGGGAACTCATACACATACAAGGTAACTAGTGGGTGACTGTAGTTCTTTTATTCTTTATTAACTGTTCCTTTTGTTGTCCTCATATAAACCCAATTCCAACTCTTCTTGTAATCATATTAATATTTGTTGATAACCTCACTTATCAGACTGGCCATTTATTTGTCATATTTTCCAAATTCTTGTCTGAATTACATTGTATCTGGATAATTAGATGTAACATAAATACCTACATATGTATGTAGGGACAAGGAGTTCAATCGATCTCATTTGTACTAATATGGGTATTACTGAAAGAATAAGTAAACCTATCCCATATTCTAATAATTGTGTAGTTACCATAAACTAGTATGAAGAGGATTTTTATTATTATTGCACATGGTGCATGAACAAGAGAGCCTTGTGAACAAACAAGTGTCAATTACGATGTCTGCCATTTGTAAAGAATTTACCGTAGTTTATAAAACACTCGTACTGTTTTTTTATGCACAATTTTTTTATTTTATTTTTGACAGAAGTGAATATCAGTAGTGTAACACAACCATGAATATGGGCTAGGTTTAAATTTTCTTTTAATTTGTTGTTTTCAGAGCCTTGCAGACTGTTATAGACCAGGTGTCGGCCAATGCTAAGGATTTAGGTAGTCTGCAGCATAAAGTAGAAAGTCAGCATTATTCTAATCTGGATGAAAGAGAAATAGAAGCTAGACAGAAAGATGAACAGTTGAAAAGTAAGTTTAACCATTAATGTTTTTGAAAAGTATCGATAAGTTTAATAAAACGGTTTAAAAAAGTAAGTTTAATGAAATGATTTTTAAAAGTAAGTTTAATGAAATGATTTTGGAAAGTGTTTTAAAAAATGAGAATGGAATGTTGGTCACTGCAGACGGAGCAAAATAACGGTACACTGAACATCTATCTTTATTTGTTCAATCAGTACTGCAGCAGAGGTTGTCAAGGCAACAAGAAGATAATGACAGAGAAAGAGCTAAATTGCAAGAATTGATAAGCCGAATGGAGAGTCATATGAGTGAACAAGCTAAACAATTAGAACAGGTATGATTCAGAGATTTACATTGAGTGTTATAATTTCTAGGATGTGGTGGCAGCATATCAGTCTCTTTTTATCTGATATTATAAAGAATATACAAGTCTTCAGTTTGTGGTTGGAATGTTAGTGAAAACCAACTGGTTTTGAAATGGTTGACAGGTACATATGGAGTGAGTAGTTAGCTAGACCAAAATTACCCTGTACAACTTATTTCATGCATTTACAATGATTTTAATCATGATCTGTAATGGAATATTGTGTTCATTTGATCCAAAATTAAATATTCAAAAAGTTGCACCAAATGTTGATTGTGAAAATGATATTGCTTAAAGGGTTACTAAAGTTCAACTACAGTTCCTGTGATATTCTTCTTTTTGATATGAGAGATGTTTCTGAAGCCTTTAACTAAAAATGATATTCTTAAAAAGTAAATTTGATTATGTCTCATCATCTGTCTACAGCCATTTTATTAAATTTGATGAGTAATATCAGATATCGTTTTTTTGTTTTTATATCTTAGGAAAGATGGAGAGTGAAGCAAGAGGAATCAAAACTAAACAGTTTACAAATCTCATTGGATGAGGAAAGGAAAATGTTAACTGAAAGGATGACTTCTGAGAGAATAGAGATTCAGAAAGCCAAGGTAAATCAGTGTTCTTTCCCAGAGCATTGTTTTTGTCATCAATTGTCACTATTGACTAATCATAAATAATGCAAGTTTACGCAGTTTTACAAACCTAATGAGTATGACATAATAAAAATATTACAAAATTAGGGTTGTGTTGTATATTGTATTGTCCATTCCTGCTATGGATTGGTCCATCCAAAATAAATGTTATCACTTATTGACTAGTCTGTTAAATCAATACCAAAGTTATCATGAGCATTGATCTGCAATGCATGTTTGCTGCCCTATTGTTTCTGAGATTTTCTGCACAACTTGTGTCTTACCCGTTAGTTAATATTTTTAGGGTCTTTATAATTGTACAATACTACCATCATCTTTCTTTGTTTAGACTCTGGTCATTCAAATTAATCTGTATCTGATCTGAAGGGGCCAAATTTGATATTTCCTTTTTCAGTAAACCTCTATTTATTTGGTTAAAATTTGGAAAAAAATAACTTTGTGAAAATGAGATTATGAAAAATCGAAAAAGAATCAGTACATTCACAATATTGCCTTTATTACATTGCAGGACAATCTACTTACTGAACAGAAGACTATAATGGGGCAGCTATATGAAGAAAGAAAGGCACTGGCTGCAGAGAGGGCACAGGTCTCTGCTAGTCAGAAGATACTGATGGAGGCCAAACAAAGAGAAGGCACCAAGACAATGCAGGTACTGAAATATTTTAGTGATCCACCATATCCAATGTCAAAAACATAAAAATGGAAAAATGCACGAAATGTTTGTGTTGAATCAATACGTACACTATACAGTTTAAAGTGCATGTGTATAACAACAAAATATAGAAATTCTTTGGTTGACGCCAATAGACCATTTTCCGTTCACTTCGAGAATTACGCGTTATGCGTGAAATCAAACGTAAAAACATGACAAACAAAGGTCATAGTGTCGTAGTGACATCAAACATCGAGTGGGATTCGACAAACGAGAAAATATTTTGGGGGGCATTTTCATGCTTAATAATGTGCTGTACACATTTGATGATTTCAATTAAGTGAGGGTATTCAAAAGCAATATTCCTCTGTCGAAGATCGGCCAGTCGATGTGAGTTACGAAATAAAGAAATTCGAGTTCAAAATCAAATCGTTCGATTTATGCGGCAGACGTTCAACGCGCATCTGTCATGCATCTCGCAAGATCTGGCATTTGAACGGAAAATCACCTATTACAATGTGCTTGTTTGTCATGATATGTAAATCTAGAAAATGTCAAAGCTTATCACTTACTGGTATTGTAATTCCTTGGGAATATCTTCACTTCCCTTCCACTTACTCTAGCCGTACTTTCAACATGGTTCAAAGCATATTAATAAATAGCATCCCACATGGTCTGTTGTGTTTTCTTTTTTTTGATCTGACTAGTGATTCTGGCTTTAATTAATGCCAATTTTGTTAAATAAAATAATTATTATATCATTATTTTATCAACTTGAATTGCTTCAACACCGTTCACTAATAATTTCAATTCTCTATTAAAATAGTTATTTTTCTGTGTTGAATATTTAGGTAGAAGCTGAGCGTGAAGGTCTGATGAGTTCATTGGCTGAACAAAAAGCTGAGCTGGTTGGCAAGAACATGACTCTGAAACAACAAGAAGAGACGTTAGCTAAAGAGCGGAGAGCATTACAGGCATACAAAGAAGAGTTGGAGGTTGAGAAGATAAAGTTGCATGATGTCGCGGAAACTTTGCGAAAACGATCATTGGAAATTGCAGAGAGTGTTAATGTTAGTATTAGCTAGGTTTCAGATTACTTTGCAATAGTATTACAATTAATCTCAATCCCACAGTGCAGGTGCATATCTAGTATTTTAATATCATATATTTCAGTCTCAGACATTAGGAGATATGGTTTCCGTCTAACCTATAGAATTGTGTACTGCATATATTTCTCTAAGAAATTACATGTATACAGTTTTTGCTCTCGTAGAAGCTCAAAACTAGTTTACTTAAATCAAGAAATACATTTATTGTATACTGGATCATAACAATTATTATTCATTTTATAGATAGCCATAATAGAGAAAATACAATGTATGGTATATTTCATAATACAATCACAACTCAATCCAAAGCTTCTTACAAGATTATGCCTGATTGGCTACAAAACCCAAACGCCTAACAGTTAGACCAATCAAAGAGCACCTTGTTTGTTTGATGTTTCAATGTTTCAAATTCTGCTTGTGAATATTTTTAACTCCACTAAAGCTGTTGCCCAGTCTAGTTATTCATACATACTAGTGTTTGTAAGGCAAATGTGGAAATCTTATTACTGTCATGGCTGTCTCTTCAGTCATGGGGTTCTTCACTATGTTAATATGTTTGTGAAAGAAAACTGACTTGTGTTTTATTTTCTAGGAGGCAGCCATAGTTAAAGAGGAAGGTGAGAAAGCGTTTGAAACATCACATAAAATACAGAGTGAGCACGACCAGAGGATTGCTTCAATTCAATCACAGATAAAGCTGCTTAGATCAACGGAAAAACAGATTGCACAGGTATTGTGGTTTATCCCCTGTATCATGCCTGTTTTGTGTGATACAGACTTTTGAATATTTTTGATGTCCCACCCAATGATGATCTGATTGGTTGATGCACAATTTGAAATTGTGATGTCATCGCCAAAGATACCAAAACATTCATTTCCACATTCACTTTGCATTATTTTTTCAAGTAACTGTTTTGGATATGCTAAATATCAATGTTCAATACTGCTAATTTCAGACACACTAACATGCAGTTATACTACAGACTTTGCTATTTGAACTTGTCATAAGATATGTTAAAAGACAGAATTACTTTCAAAGTTAGTAATAAAAATATTACAAATGTGTCCCTAAAACTATAAATATATTGATTTTTTCCTCCGCCAAAAATTAATACACTTGTTAAAATAAATCTGATATCATGACATGTCTTGTTTCTCCACAAACAGCTTGTATTTTCGAGATGCTGTGTGGTATGCACAAGCTGTAGTTTTGTCGTTACATAAAATCTATTTTCAGTCACTGACTTGTTATTCTTTTGCTTTATAGGATCGCCTACATTTGGCAAAGGAACAGAAGGCATTGGAAGAGATCCGTGGTAGTATAATGTGTACAAAATGTGGTGGCCCAGTCAGTGTTTGTAAGTATTACTTTTTGGACATCCAATTTAGACATTAGGCATTAACAGCTGAATATTACCGGTAATTAGGCTCCTCATGATTTTATTAACACTTTTTGCAAATTTAAATTTCTCATTGGCTATAGGTCTTGATCAAAATATAAAAAAAAAAATTTGTAAAAGGTAACAATTTGGGGTTCAAATATCAATAAATATCACTTTTCAGAGGATAAAAAAATGAAAATAAAATAAATGAACCATATGAAGACTGAACAACTTGGACATTCCCAAAACATACAGCAGCTCAAAGATATTTTGCTTCAAGGTTATATGAATATTGCTCAGGTATAATTTAGTACATCATATGGCATCTCTGACAGTGTCTAATCATGTTTCTGTTGGCATTCATCATTTCCTAATTATTAATGGATGCATGGAGTAACAATGAATACTGTATTCTCCAGCATAGTACTGTGGCTTCACCTTCAGTACACACTGGTTGATGTGGCCAGCTATGCTGGTCTGCATGTAATTTTGTCTCTACTCAAAATTGTATTAGTTAACATTAGTAGGATTTGTATTGGAGAATCTGCACAGCTTTGGCAGATAGCAAATATAAGCTTGAATATAAGTGGTTAGACTGAGCTGGAATATCACTCACAGCCTTGTCTGTGAAACTGAGCTGGAAAGTGGTAATATACACTACATGCAGTCCTAGATCGATAGTATTTTTGTTTCACTGACATTCTTTTTTTTTCTTTGTTGTACCACAGATACAGGTACACCATCATCAGTGAGTCCAGCACCTGTGGCAATTCAGACCACGGCGCCGACAATGCAGGCTATGCAGACGACAATAAACAAAGACGATGTCTTACAAGAGTTAGTAGTACAAGCTGAAATGGATCGTACTTTAAGAATGTGGAGAATATCAGCAGAGAAGGTAAGTCATTGTGTTTTATATGCCTTGAGAGGTATGTAAATCTGTCGAAATGGACATAGTGCGAGTGGTTAGTGCTAGTAGCACTAATCCGAAAAACTACTAGATCTAGTGCTAAAATGGCACTAGATCTAGTGCAAAAACGGCACTAGATCTAGTTCTAAAATGTACATAGTGCGAGTGGCATTGATATTGCGTTGTCAACGACGTCAAGACATCCCTTGATTCTCTGAAAATAAATTAATATTTACGTAAAATTGTTGTATCTTTCATTCATTGGAAATGTGCTACAGTGGGAAAATTGAGAATGTCATTGTCCACGTTTGTCGTAATACTAATAGACCTTTGGAACAACGCGATCGGCCGG